CCCACCAAAACACCTTGGTTCCGATGGGGGACCGGATCGTCGGACTTGTGGAGTGCCCGAATGCCACATTACCTCAAAACCACGGCGTGGTCCAAATTATGGGCGTCGTACTACGGCCCACTAATACATACCACGACTTGTGTTTTGTAGGCGGAGCAATAAAGCCACATCTGCATACCTACCACCGCATCAACCATGCAAGTTCGCGCAGGACATGCTGCGTATTCATTATCAACCAACGCTGGCGGCTTCGGGTTGCATTCGGTGTGCTAAACGTGAATCTTGGACAAAGAGCGGTTGCAAAGTTATTCAATTCCCTATACTATGCGTTTTGAGGAAGAGGCCGACTGTGTCAAAAGTCGATCACTGAATCTTGAGCATTTTGGACCTGATTGGTAAAAGCTCATCTTTCCGAGAACGCAGGTGGATGGTATTAGCTCATTGTGGCCAAAGAATGATCAAACTCGCATCGACTGAATGGAGTTGCGAGCTCGGACCATGCTCACAACAGCGCAGCAATCAAGAATCGAGGTTTCCGATCCGTTGCCCCGTGCAACGGCTCTATTGTAATCGGATCTTCCCAGCAGATTCTCAATTGTGTAGGTAAACGCAATTCGTTTGCGGTCTACGGATATCACTGAAGGATAAGTCCTCCAAGTGAGGAGTCCTTTGTAAAGGTCCCAGAAGAGTTCATTTTGGTCCATTTCGCTGACACATGTCATCATGGCCGAGGACCACCTCTCCAGCGATGACGAGCTGCCAGACCTGGATATCTTGCTGGAGAGACTTCAGCAAAGAACACGACGAGCCAAAGAAGGCCTCGCCAAACCTGACGACAACAACTCGGCGGGGTATACGACTAGCACTAAAGCACCCACCCTCATCCGACACAGAAGCCTAGGGCAAGCACGAGACACCCTTTATCACAAATCGCCTACCCGCAAGGAACATACTGTTGAGCAACAGACACATGGTAGTCGAACACACGTCAATGAGCATTCATCAAGAATACGAAATACTGCTGAACGAAGCCAACTTCGTAATCAGCCATGTTCAGCAGCACTGCCGGTATCGTCATCTCAGAGGGGCGATGATGAAGACGCCAACAATGCTTCAATCATATCTTCGGACTCAACAATTGATACGGCAGGCGAAGGAGAAGACGACGAGGATAACGATACGTTTTATAGCTGCACCTCCAGCGGCTCATATCAACATGCCATGCCGGCAGGGTTGCCCCTTCGTGTGTCCAGTACATCGCGTGAGACCAGGGCTATCAACAAAAATCAAGGGAAGAAGGCCAGTACATGCGATGCAAAATCCAGGGAGCTTGTACGAAAGCACGAAGTAGGCTCGTCAGGCAGCAGGAAGAACACACCAGAGTCTCGGCAGAATTCAGCTGTTCATGATGTAGCTGGGTCCCTAGCACACCTGAACCTGGGAAGCTCTCTGACGAACTCGTCCCAAGACTTGGCGTTTTCAAAAGCGACGATAACGCTACTACCACCGTCGGGGCAGAACAGTCAGACATTGACATCCCCCAGAAAGCTGACAGCGTTGCCTACACAACCCAAAAGGCCAAGTCATGACCTATTCTGGAATCAGGACACTGTCGATGAGTGGAATGACGAATGCTTGCCCATAAAAACAAACCTGCTGCCACCAGCACAAAAGGCCCACGAGAAAGTTAATATAGGCAAACTTAAGCCGAAAAGCCAAGCATTGAAGAAGGGCTTTGAACAATCAAGACAGCATCTTGGAGAGATTTTCCTCACGGAGCTTGATGACGCGATTCTCCAGGGTCAGCTTCGTAAGCTCACCAAATCGACAGGAGGGATTAAGATTGTATGGTCTAAAAAGCTCAATACCACGGCCGGGCGCGCGAATTGGAGGAAAGAGAAGCTTCCTGACAGACAGGCCGGCATTGAGGGGAGCGTTGATATGTCCCGACACTACGCGTCCATCGAACTTGCTGAAAAGGTCATTGACAACGAAGATCGGCTGTTCAATGTCATTGCTCATGAATTTTGCCACCTCGCAAACTTCATGATCAGCGGCATCACTGGCAATCCCCACGGCAAAGAGTTCAAGACCTGGGCGGCTCAAGTGTCAAGGACTTTCGCAGACAGAGGCATAGTGGTAACCACGAAGCACTCCTATGATATTGATTTCAAGTACGTCTGGACATGCACAGAGTGCGGGACAGGTTTCAAGCGGCATTCGCGCAGTATCAATCCCGAACGGCATCGTTGCGGCGCCTGCAAGGGCCCGTTGCAACAAACTAAACCAATCCCGCGGAAACCCGCTGGTAACAAGTCAGGATATCAGCGGTTCGTTCAAGAGCAGATGCCGATTGTAAAGAAGGAGAACCCGGGGAGTCCGCAGAAGGGAATGATGCTACTCATCGCACAGAAGTGGGCGCGTAGAACCGGAGCTGCAGCGGCCTTGGACTCCTCGGAACATCAGCTGGATGAGGCCAAGGGAGACAAGTCTAGTCGACTAGGTGGTACAGTCCGATAAATGCGATGCGTTGCATCATGACAATCGGTAAAGGGCGTATGGGGCTTGTGGTGAGGGACGCGCAGTGTTGCTACCTCGTTGTAACTTGGTGGGATGCATGAACCGCTTGGGCTGGGTATATAATTCGACATCGCAGCTATGATAGACAAGCCTGGCGTGTTGGTGAAGCTGAGCAGCTCAGACTTCCCCAAAAAGGGTCCAGTCTTTGACTTTGAAGGTCTCCCAGACCCTTGCAGCATAATCAACCGCATCTCCGATCAGCTTGCCCTGCTTTCCCAACTCGAGATCTACGTCCTCTTCATTGTACTCGCCCTTAATGTGAGGCACGTTGATCGTGATGAGGATGTCCGTCGATTCTTTTTCGAGGCGCAGTAAGGTCAAAATAATCGCCGTGAAGTCGGGCGAAGACGACCTGTCTCCAGACTCGGCACGGGGGGTCTGTGTCGCGATCAGGGTGTAGGCGGGAATGTCCTCACTTGGTAGAAAGAAAGACCATGTCAGAGGAGGTGAACAGCGAAGGAGTAACAGCCATCATGTACGTACCCAAGACGAGAGAACTGGGTTTCTGTTGTGTTCCACACCTTGACAGTGTCCACTTCAGAGCCTACCAGCTCCTCGAGGTGTGTTGTGAGGGCGCGGCCATCTATCTCTGGACCAGTGCCAGAGGGGCCTACGCGTTCCGTGATGTCGAAGATAATGCTGGTGAACCCATCTTGGTCGATGTAGACTTCCTGGTTGTCCGGTACCTGTCTTAGTTTGCTATGAGAGCATTAGCTATTATTTCATGTGGCTCGGACTACGTCGTCGATTGTCCGTACCTGACATCGGCAAACTTCTCGGGCAGGTCAGAAACCAATGCCCCGCCGTACAACAGAGTGTTCTTATAACGGGTCATGACGGGCGTATGTATTCAGGTGAAATCGGGTGCGTAGCGAAGAGTTCTGTTGGATACTTGGCTATCGTACGTGCGATTTAAGAGGTTGCGAGGCTGAGAAATGAACCATGTACGCGACAAGCAGGCAGTTGGGTGACGCTGTGACGTACGTGGGGTCTGCCCCTCCTGCCCTGGCCACGGGAAGGTGGGGTTGCAGGATGCCATAACCTGACTGACCATCCAATTCAAATGTCAGGAGGGATTTCAGTTCAGTTTGTATCATCCTCCTTTACCCCGCCCTGCAAGTTCTTCTCAATAAGCTCATGTCGTGCTCCAACAGTGTTTTCTATGGACAACCAAACTCTGCAAGCATGCACGACTTCGATCATGATGTGATACAGCAGCCTACATCAAACGGTCAAAGATAAGATATTTTAATTAGAGATTCGATGTGGGTCGACTGCTGGGCTCATCAGGGATAAATGACCCGTGAGTGGAAGGAAGGGTGCTTTCAGAGGAACAGGCAAAAACAATCTGATCCAAAACCCAAAACAAGATTCGAACTCAGGTTCATTGGTGGCCAAAGATTGAGGGAATGGAGTCTTTTGGGCCAACTAACGGTCACATCTGGTAAAAGGCAAGAGGTGAATTCGATAAGTGGTCCCACTCCGGCTAAATTACTGTCTAACTGGTATCTATATAGAGATACAAAATGCTGACCTAATCCATGTGCCTGTTGCGGGGAAAGTACGCATTCATCGTGCGTCCACAGATCTCGCCTCTTCCCATTTCATCGAAACACTGACAATATACAAGCTTTACTTGAGCTTGATAACAACATTGCCGACATTTCAACATGACAAGCCTCGCTTCTTGTATCTTCTGCAAAATCGTCAAGGGTGGGTACTGATGACACGTTCCCTCCTGGTTTTAGCGTTGACCCCCTCTTGTGTCCCGGCTTCAGGAGAAATACCTTGCTTCAAGCTTTTCGAGAGCGACAAGACGTTGGCGTATCTAGACATAAATCCACTAAGCCGGGGTCATGCTGTAAGACTCAAATTATCACGTGTTTCGTCGGCTTTGACTCTTTACTCATTAACTTGGACCAGCTCGTCATTCCTAAGCATCATGGTGCCAAGCTTACCGATATTCCTGACGACCACTTGATGGAGATTCTGGTAAGCCTCTTGCACCATAATACAATTCCAAACCTGGCACAGTTCAGCTGATACACCGCTCAGCCCGTCGTCAAGAAGCTGGTTAACGCCACCGGCGCAGTTGATTACAACATACTGCAGAACAATGGCCGCGCCGCTCATCAGATGGTGGACCACGTCAGTTCTTTACCACGCCTTCCTCGTCTCTGACAGAAATTGCTGACACTCGCAGGTCCATTTCCACATGGTATATGCTGTATTTATATTGATGTGCTGCGTGTTAACTAATTCTATTCCTAGATCCCCAAGCCCAATGAGACGGAAGGGCTCGGTATCCGCTGGCCACAGCAGCAGACTGACATGGATAAACTCAAGGCCCTCTTTGAGGAGCTCAAGTCCAAGGTGTAGTCTCCACAGAAGCCGGCACATGTCCGTGTATCTGCATGTACCGGTTAAAAATTCGAGCAGTCAGGCCCGGCGGCGTGGTTAAGCATCAAGACTATGAACCATGTGTTCGTTGCGAAGTCATAACTTCTAGTCTAAATCGTCGGCTGAGGTCTCAACAGCGACGCGGCCAGACGGAGGAGCAGCAGCTGGGTAGAAATCGATCTTTCCACCATCCTGTAGCACACCTATTCTGTCGTAGTAGGAGCGGGCTCGAAGGTACGGGTCGAGGGTCCAGTAATCCACCCTGAGCTTCTGCGCGAGGTTCTCCCTCTCGACTTGTACCGCAGCCGCTTCTGCGGACCCGCCCGTGGCAATCCAGCGCATGGTTGCTGCCTCCCAGTCTTGAATGAGATGCTCTCGCCCCTCCAGAAGCTTGTCTCTGGTCACAGTGTCCTTCATTCTGTCATTTTCACCAGGGATTGGCTCGGTGTATTTATACTCCCAATCTTCCTGGCCGTCCAATTCGCGAGTGATGCGCTGCGGCTCGATGAACTCCTGCATCTCCTTCACATTGTTGGTGAAGTGCACCTTGCTTGCCACGACAGGGTCGAGCCACCCCTTGATAATCCTCCAGATCCCTACCATCGATTAGCTGGTCATTGTACACACTGGCGGGCCAACGTACGCACCCTGAAACACCCATGGGGCCTTATGGACCAAGACAGCTCCAAGCGACTCGGGGTAGTTCGCCTCGAAACACTTGATCATAAATTTGACGGGGGTGTAGTCCTGTTGTAAGATGTCAGTGTTCCTGTGACCAGACTTGCTGAATAGAAGCTTCAACATACCATGTTAGCCATGGAGAAACCGGTCATATCGAAGATGATTGTCTGAAATACAAATCAGTCAGAAGCTCCGCTCCAAAAGCGCCTCAAGAACTCACAGCTGTGTCAACAGGCGGCGCCAGAACCATCCGTGCTGTCTCAATAAGGTAAACAGTGTACCGCTCGAGGCTCTCCTCGCATTGTTCCCCCTGCTTATGAAGTCGCACACGAACAACGCAAATGGGACGTCCAGACTTGTCAACGCCATGTAAGAAGCTCTTACCCATGCGAATTTGAGCCATGAAATCAGCACCGAGCTTTTTGGCATCTCCGTCGGCGCCTTGCTCGTCTGCCACGGCACTAGCCTCGCCGTTCTTCATAATGTCGTCATCAACATGAACTTCGGTGAGCCTCCAATTCATGGTAGAAATCATCATAACCAGAGCCTTGTCGACGTCCCACTTGCGAGCCCGGAGGAAGCGCAACAGCAGAGCATCTGGGTGGTCATGCTTGACCATGCTCCAGATGGTGGCACGCAGCGACTGAGGTGTCTGGTTGGCTAGAGCGTCGAAGAATTGCTGTGTCTGCCCATACTTGTCCTCTCCATCGCCCTCTTTTATGTGAGTCATCAAACCAGGCGAAGGTTGGGCTTGCGTGGGCGACTCATTCTCGGCAGCCTTATGCTTCTTGCCAAATAGAGAGATGCGTTTTTTCTTAGGTTTCTCTTTCTCAGCCTTGCCTGCACCGGGCGTGGCCAGATCTGATCCGGTTTGGGAGTTTGTGTCACCGGCGGATGCGGGCATCGGCCGCACCACCGGCAACGGCCTCAGTCATGGTGTTGACATTCTCATCTGTTACACCACACAGCTTGAGAACGTGACCCCATAACTGGCGCAACTTCTCTTCCTGGTCGGGCGTCAGGTTTCCCGGGCGTCCTGGATGCGCCTCTTGCCCCATGATTTCTTTCTTGGAAACGACAGCTACGTCTTGCGTGGCTGTCTGTGATGGTTTCTGTTCCACCCTGTAGTCGCCCAAGCTTACTCAACGCAAATCAGTAGAAGAGTGGCAGAGAAGGCAAGTAGGTCGAGACGAGATTCAAGTTGCCCAGGAGAGATGAATTGATGATCTACTCTGAGAGCGCATGCCACTCGTGGCGTAAGGCGGACAGCGCGGTGTGAGGGGCGTGAGAGTGGACGCAGATGAGGCCTCGGAAAAGCCGGAAACAGTGAATGCGGTCGACTACGGGCCAATAAGCGTTTGGGCAGGTTTGCGAGGTTGATGCTCATGGAGGTTTGGCGAAACGAGGTCCGGAAAAGCGCAAGCTTGACTCAAATGAGGGTGACGAGGCCACTTCAACACCAAACACAATCTCTACTTCGAGTCGAAACACACGTTTCTGGGCGATGCAAAACCAAGGAAGGATGCTCAGGAGCTTCCAGAAGAAAAGTCAGCAATGAAAGATAAGGCCCGAAGACGCGGTGTAAGATCGTACTGTTGTTGATGACGACCTGCCTGGAGGGAAGACGAGCCGATTGGCGTGAGAGAAGAGAGGTGTGTGGTTCTGTGTGATTGTTGTCTGTGTGTGATTGAATGACTACAGAAGACTTGGGGATGTGGAGCCTACAATAAGCACGCAGTCACCTAGTAAGCAAGTTAGTCAAGAACCCCGAGCCGCCCGAGGAGGTGACATAAAAGCCGTGCGCCAAGTTCGCCAAACACAGGTATCATCCAGACAGACCCGTAACTTCGGAACCTTCTCAACGCCTCGTATCGCAATCCGATGTTCCGACATTCCATGTTCTACATAATCAGCGACATATTCAAGGATGAACATACTTTGAGTAGTTTTGAGCTAAGTCAAAGCATAGTATAGCGGTTCGAAGTACGCTCACCCTTTATCAGTGTGGCTTATTTTGTCATTCCCTTTGACGGGGTAAGTCCATGTGCTACCCCGCTGCAAGACTCTCGGTTCGAATGCACGACCGTAAGCACTACAGTCAGCCTTTCATGACTTCCGCATTGGTGCATCTCGCATTACCCTATCGTACCTAGGTACCTACCAAGTAGCCCCTCCATGCCCCAACATTGACTCACTGCACTCCACGAGGACAGCCAGCCACACCAAGCACTGCACCAACGAGCAACTAAGGCGAGCTACCCTACCTTGCCTACCTGCCTGCCCACCTTGCCTACCTTAGGTACCTCCCTCACCTTGCCGCTTCGATCGGACCCCTCCCTCCACATTGCATCCCGCCCGCAGGCTGTCCTGCAGTTTTTCACCCCGCGCCGACTAAAAACTCCCCCTTGAGTCATCCATATATCGACTCGATATATGCCGTGGTTACCCCTCCGCCGCCTTGCCAAACTTCAACACCGGCTAGCTCTCAGTTCACACCCAATTGTACTCTTTCGAAGCAACTTGTTGTATGCAAGTGCGACTCGAAACCTCAACATGGCGGCATCCTCAGGTCCTGCCAAGAACGGTAGATCACAGTCCCTTATCCTACCTCGTTATGCTCCGCCGGCCACCACCTCAACCTTGACGGCTTTCTTGGCAACTGGCTAATGTTTGGTCCCTGATCACAGAGCTAAAGGAGAAATTGAAGGCTGAAAAGGCTGCTGAAAAGGCCGCCAAATTCGCTGCCAAACAGAACAAACAAAAGCAGGAGAACACGGCGAAACCAAAGTCACAACCGAAGGTCGAACCAACTCCTACACTTCCACCCTTCCAGAATGACACTGCCGCCGGCCAGAAGAAGATTCTTCACTCCTTCGAACACCCTCACTTTTCCGCATACAACCCCAGTGCCGTCGAGGCTGCCTGGTACCAATGGTGGGAGGAAAGCGGCTTCTTCAAGCCTGAGGCCAGCAAGCAGGGTGCTGATGCGGCCGGAACCTTCGTTATCCCCTTGCCGCCGCCGAATGTCACCGGTGCCTTGCACTGCGGCCACGCACTGGCCAATGCCCTTCAGGACACTCTCATCAGATGGCATCGCATGAAGTATGTTGTATCCCTTGGTGCGACACGGCGTCGAGATGTATGCCTTGGACTGACATGGGGTTTCCGTTGACATTAGGGGTTTCACCACACTGTGGGTCCCTGGCTGCGATCATGCCGGCATTTCGACCCAATCAGTGGTGGAAAAGATGCTGTGGAAGAAAGAGCAGAGGACGCGCATTGATGTTGGTCGCGAGGGCTTCGTTCGAATGGTCTGGGATTGGAAGGACGAATATCACCAGCGTATCAACAACGCCCAGAAGCTGATGGGTGGCAGCATGGACTGGAGCCGCGAGGCATTCACCATGGACAAGAACCTGAGTGCTGCCACTGCTGAGACTTTCTGCCGTCTCCATGACGAGGGCCTCATCTACCGCTCCAGCCGCCTGGTCAACTGGTGCACCGCCCTGAACACAGCGCTCAGCACCCTCGAAGTTGAGAATAAAGAAATCACTGGCCGCACCATGCTGAGCGTGCCCGGCTACGAGCGGAAGGTAGAGTTTGGAGTCCTCACCCACTTCAAATACCAGATTGAGGACAGCGATGAAACCATTGAGGTTGCCACGACTCGTCCTGAGACTATGTTCGGAGATTCGGGCATTGCAGTGCATCCTGAAGATCAGCGCTATGTCCACCTGATCGGCAAATATGCCAAGCATCCATTCGTTGACCGGTAAGACCTCCTTCCTCTACATTCGTCATATCAACTGGATCAAAACCCGACCTGCAGCTGACGTATCGTCACAGCCGCCTCAAGATCGTCGCCGATAACAAGTTCGTTGACCCAGAATTCGGTACTGGTGCCGTCAAGCTTACACCCGCGCACGATCCTAATGACTACCAAATGGGCAAGACACATGGGCTAGAGTTCATCAACATCCTGAACGATGACGGCACGTTGAATGCAAATGCTGGCCGGTTCGAAGGCCAAAGGCGCTTCGATGCTCGTTATACTGTTGTCGAAGAACTGACAAAACTTGGCTTATTCGTCAAGAAGGAGCCTAACCCCATGAAGATTCCCCTGTGCGAGAAGTCGAAGGACGTCATCGAACCTATCATCAAGCCGCAATGGTGGATGCAGATGCAGGACATGGCAGATGCTGCCCTCAAAGTCGTCGAGAGCGGCGAGGTCAAAATTTCCCCTGAAAGTGCCAACAAATCGTACCGCCGTTGGATGGCTTCCATCAACGACTGGTGCATTTCCAGACAACTCTGGCAAGTTTTCCCTATGAAGGGCGTTGTGTTCTTTTTACTGACCTTGGTGGCAGGTGGGGCCATCGAATCCCAGCGTACCGTGTGGTGTTCGAGGGCGAGGACGCTTCTGAGGGCGACGACTCTGTCTGGGTTGTGGGAAGAACCACAGAAGAGGCGCAGGAGAAGGCTGCTGCCAAATACGGTTCCAAGAAGTTCCACCTGGAGCAAGACCCTGACTGTCTTGACACCTGGTTCAGCTCTGGGCTGTGGCCCATGTCCACCTTGGGATGGCCCAACACTGAGAGTCCGGATTTCAAGCAGTTCTTTCCAACAAGCCTTCTCGAGACTGGATGGGATATTCTGTTCTTCTGGGTAGCGCGTATGATCATGTTGAGCCTCAAGCTCACTGGTCGCGTGCCATTCAAAGAAGTTTACTGCCACAGTCTCATTCGCGACTCTGAAGGCCGCAAAATGAGCAAGTCGCTCGGAAATGTCATCGACCCCCTTGACATTATTAGCGGCATCGAGCTCGATCAGCTTCATGCCAAGCTCCACGTTGGCAATCTTAAAGAAGACGAAATCAGCAGAGCGATCAAGTATCAGAAGACGGCCTTCCCCGGTGGCATCCCTGAGTGTGGCGCCGATGCCCTGCGACTTACACTCATTTCGTACACCACTGGCGGTAAGCACAACCAAACTGGTACAATTCCCCTAACGTCGACCACAATTGCTTACAAGGCCTAGGTGGTGACATCAATTTTGACATCAAGGTCATGCACGCTTATCGCCGCTTCTGCAACAAAATCTGGCAGGCGAGCAAGTATGTTCTTGGTCGTCTTCCCGAGGATTTTGTTCCTTTGAACAAACTCGACACCGCCAAGCTATCGATTCCAGAGCGATGGATCTTGCACCGCATGAATGTCGCAGTCAAGGGCATTAACGACACTCTAGAGGCTCGGGAATTTTCAAAGAGCACACAGTTTGCATACCAGTGAGCAAAAGTCCGCTGGCACATAACCAGGCAGCGCAAGCTAAACTCGGTACAGGTTCTTCTATGACGAGCTGTGCGATATCTTCATCGTAAGCCGCCTCGTCCCGTTGCGTTGAGACTTGTACTAACTCAATACTAGGAAAACAGCAAAACTATTCTTTCTGACGGGTCACCCGAGGCGCAGTCAAGCGTCCAACAGACTCTGTTCCTTGCATTGGACGTCGCCCTTCGCCTCATGCATCCGTTCATGCCGTTCATCACTGAGGAGTTGTGGCAGCGCCTTCCCAAGAGGGAGAACGATACTGCGAAGACGATCATGCTGGCCCCCTACCCCGCATTTGACGCAAGCCTAGAGTTCGAGACTGACGCGCGCGAATACGAGTTGGGCCTGAGCTGCGCCCAGGGTATTCGTTCATTGACGTCCGAATACAACGTGCGGGCAGACGGCCGTGCTTTTATCAAGGCTGCGACTGCCGACAGCTATGCCAAAATTAACGAACAAGTGGCCGCAATCAGTCTCTGAGCGGAGGAATTGCAGAGTTGCAAGTTGTGGCCGGCTCAAGAGGGCGCATCGAATGGATGCGCTGTTTTGTCCTTACGGCCGATCTGTCTGTTTTCCCTTGAACTAGGTTCTCGTCTCAATAACATTGATGCGGAGATCAAGAAAATTCAGGCGAAGCTACAGAAAAGTCAAGGCGCTGCAAGGAAGCAACAGGAACTCATGTCCAAGGACGGTTTCGAGGACAAGGTAAGTGATGTTGTGTTGACAACAGAAAGGAAGAAGTTGGCCGATGCTCAGTCAGCAGCCGAGAATTACGAGAAGACGATCGAGCAGTTCCAGAAGATGAAGCTCAGCTCAGCCTAAGACACGGAACATATTCTGATGTCCAGGTCTGTAACAGGTAGCTCCTTAACCAATGGCATTCATCAACTGTTGTGGCATGTGATTGTTCTGGGAAATCGTGAACGCGGGGGAGAGTTGTTCCGGCTGTTTCGCAGCACTTGCCCAGGTTCATTCCCGGGCAGGCTCTACTCATCTCTTGCCATTTGGAACCGCAATTGCTCTCCTATCGCTGGGATCAATCAGATTATGCTGGTGCACTGCATTCGGTGACGCGAATAAAACCACGCGGCGAGCTCAATCGACCAAACTGAGAACCCGAAGTGGCTCATGTTCATGTAGCGCAACACCCTTGATTGCACAAAACGTCCAATAATTTATGGGGGCTCCACAGAAACCCCACCCCTCCGTGGTTCGTCTCGTCAAACGCGACACCCCACCACCTGCAAGGTTCGCTTTGGTATAGCATCGACCAATACTGAACAAGCAAGCGGCGGCGGTAGTGGTCAATAAGTGACAACGACGAGGGTTCGTCTGCAGCTGCAATTCTTGACACCACAAACACATCACCAGCCAGCGCGGCACGCCAGCGTCTCCCATCATGTCAAGCGAACCCCATAACAATGGGCGTGGGCGATCTACGTCTCGTTCGAGAACATCGCGGCCGACTACACCATTGCGCCCATCCTCGCGCTCCTCCTTTCGCGACTCGGCAAGAGCGAGCACCGGACCAAATGCTGATGCATTCCCTCTTGTCACATTCGAGCCTGCATTTGCCGAGCTCTCTGATGCCATGGCCGACTTGGAGGCCAACATGATGCACTTTCAGCTCATGCATGAAAGTTTGTCACGCTTCAGCGAGTCGTTCGCGAGTTTCCTCTACGGGCTGAATATGAATGCTTTTTGTGTCGATTTTCCTGAAGGACCTGTTGCCGAATCATTCCGTCGAGACGGGCAACATGTTGATTTGCAAGGTAAGGAGCATCATCCCACAATCAAAAACACGCAAGAGTCACAAAAGCTGACGAAACGAAAGCAGCTAACCCCGTCCTAGAAAGACCCGGACGAGGCGACGATGATGGAGAAACAACGTTCATGTTAGTTGTGGGTCGTTATCCATTGACAAGAGTTACACAACTGAGTTGACCTTAGGACTACCGACACGTCTTTCATCGATAACCCTCCACCATCCTCCAGACCTGTTGCAAGGCATAAACCCTCAGAGCCCTCGATTTCGCGAGTGCCAGCACCTTCAACTCGGGGCGCTGTATCCACTCGAGGGACCGGGGCTGGGCGTCGTGTGGCTTCCGGAACACAAAGGGGTCGAAGCAGTGGGCTACCCAGAGGTCGAGGGGTCCGATGAGGGGCCTGCTTCCTGTGAAATCACCGCGATTCGGTCTGTAGAAACGGAACACCTGGCTCGCTTTCGCAGGCGCAGCTGAGGGCTCTCTCCACAGCATAATATGTGCCACTGTTGCGCCGCTCATTGTATCTGTCCAACCTGAGGACATGTTCCGAGGGCGGAGAAAGTAATGGTCGTGTTGAGAGCGATGCGGGATGCTGACTCAGGTGGCCATGTCGACCTCATGATTTGGGGCCTTTTCAACAGTATCTTTTTGTTTGCTCGGTCCCATATTGTCCGTACGAAGGCCTACCGCAGCCTCGGCTTCTTTCTGACTGTATGGTTCCTCCTTGAGGTCCTTGACTCTGGTAGGGCGCGCAATTAGTCGGCGTTCGTGCGTCGAGCATTTTGTTCGGCATTGCATGGGCACGTTTCAAAATAAGAAGCATAAGCTATTGTGACATACCTGCGCCTATGAGGCTTGCCCTTCCTGTGGCTGACGAGGTTCGTCTCTGTGTCGAACCACTTCGCGCATTCGATGCAATAGTGTTGGCCGAGGGCGGGCAAATCCTCGGTCGCCCTGGTCTCTTTGTATTGACGGAGATGTTTGGGAGACAAAAGGTCTGCCTTGATTTGGTCGAGATCCCTAATAGCAGCCCGAACATTAGTCTACCAAAGGCGCAGTGTGTGGTCGAGTAACGTGCCTGGTCTTCCGCCTCGTTTTTGTAATCGTCCTGTGAGCAGTGACACCCATTGCGAATTCCTTCGATATGGTGTAGGGGGGGGATGGATGTGATATATTGGACGCAGCGGCAGCTTTCACAAGACGGATGGCGCTGTCTCGTCACTAAGTTAAAAGGGTGAGGTTGACGATAAATCAGTTACGGAAAAATTTAGTGGACCAGCAGGGGTCCGATGGTGGGGAGATTTCCTGACAGAGGCTTATCGACAATGGCAGCCAGATAATGCAGTATCGGGGGTGGTGTAGGTGCGCTCTTAGGCGGAGTGGAGTTTCCCGTCGTAGGGTCATGTGATTTCAAGGCACAATAATGGGAACCCAATCAAGCTTCAGGCAAATGTTGCTCGAAGTCAAGCAACTTGTCAAGACCTCCCGCGGAGCGTAGATGCAGGCTCGGTGATCCCGGCCAACAGAAACAGCGCCGAAAACTTCGCATTCGAACAGGGGGTCGGGCGGAAGGCCCGTATTGATAGGAGATAAGTCACCTCGGCCGAGCCGAACAGCCTTGGCTCCGAGCTCAGGCTCCCGCAATGGAGAAAAGAATCTCGGATTTCGCGCGATGCGAAGCAGAGGTGTGGCTGGAACGCAAGGACCGTGGGGTTTCTCAGGAACCAGTGGAGCCTACATGCACTGGAAAACGAGACCCTCGTCGTGAACCGAGTAGAGCCGAGGGACCACAAAGCTGCTGCCCGCAACAGCGACTGTGAAGGTATTGTACCGCGTCCGGGGGTTCGAAGCAAGTAACATTGAACGCATCAATGAGAAGTGATTCAGCAGTCCGTGTTGAAGCGCACGCGCTCGCTCTTGAGACCAGATTGATAAGTCCAATGTACTGCAGCCCGTTTATACCGAGGTGTTTTCAGGTGACGTAGTCCTTACATTCATGTGCTCCGCATCGCGCTCAAACCTGAAGGGTCAATATCTCGGTCAGGCTGCGGAGGGCGCCAGACTTCCCCTCCGCCGTGTTGGCGTGCCGGGGCTCCTAGGGGTGTGTATGTGTGTGTGTTAACACCACCATGACGTGGCTTTAGA